TTACATTTATTTACTTTTTCCTGTCTTTTCTGAGCAATTATTTGTGGCTGCTGATGTGTCTCAGCCCTTTCTGCCTTTTCCTGGCACAGTTTAATTTCCTTTGCTGCCTGGATCCATCTTACAGTGTGCAGAGCCCGTTTGTTGTGGTGGAGCGTTGCCTTACAAACATTTATCATACCTCGACTGGAATACCTTTTGTAACCGGGTTTGTTTTGACGCTGTTTTGCTTTGAGGGAAGTGCAGTGACCGCAGGCTGCAAAGGTGCGACTGTTTTGTTTTCTGCATTTTTAATACATGATAAATAAACGTTCTCCATAAAAATGAATGAGAACAGAAGCAGTTTATATTCTCTTTGAACACTCCTCCTAAGATCTGAAGATACTTTCAGGTGTGAGTTAGGATCTCGCATAGTACCCAGCATTGTCATGGCCAAGCACAAACATTATCCTGGTAAAACATTATTTCATGTTTTTTGACAGACAGGTTAAATATCTTTTAACTGTTTAACCAGTGAGGAGATGAGACAGATGCATCAGTAGTTTGGAAAACATTTAATTCTCTCTGGAGCCCAGTACTGCTGCAGCCTCGACTATGTAAAATCCCTCAGCGTTTCTGCAGAGCTTCGTCATTCGTATTAAACCCCATCAGATTCCTCCGGACCCACCAGTCGCCGTCCTCGCTGCTGTCACCTCTCTTGTGAGGATGGCATCTAACTCACGGGGCTTGGAGCAGTTGACCTGGTGCATTGCGGGGAACTGCTGTCAATCCCTCCGAATACGCGAGGAGGGCGAACGGAGCAGCAGAGCTGTGTGGGGATGTCTGCCCATCCTGCGGGGACGGAGCAGCGCTCTGCCCGCTGCTGAGGAACGACTGAAGGTCACCGCTGGACTGCGGTGTGGTTCGTGCTCCCGTATTTTCCACCCGCTGGATGTTGCTTTGTTCTTAAAAGGTTTCTCGTTTTCCTGTGCTGGTGCAGTTTGGTTCCTCGGTTGTGATCAATGGCACGGCTTGCTTACCGCCCCGTTGGTTTAGACCATCCCAGGCCTGATTTTCACAAGAGATCACCCTTGGCACGGCAGTGTGACCAAGTCCTAGGGAAGAGCTGGCTCTCCCTTACCTGCCTGATTGCGGTTGCCCGAGGGAAGACGTTGAGATGCTCGTGCAGGGTTGGAGACTTGCCGGTTTTTCTCCTGGCTTCGGGCGAACCTTTTAATATCTCTGTTTCCACTCTTGTGTTGGGGTTACTGGCACTGGGGTTAATGGCCGGTGGTGGTCTTTTGCAGCCCCCTGGTCCCTCCTCCGGTGCAGTTCTGTGGTGGGAGACACACACACACAGATTTGGCTGCTTCCATGGAGTTTTGGCCAAAACCAGCTTGCTTAAGCTCTGGGGTGTCAGTTTATTTCTTAAGTTGAACACTGTAATATTTCCACCCCTCGCAGGGGTGTTACCAGACTTAATGAATTAATATACGAAGAGCTTTGAGCTGTCCAGATGAAGGGCGCTGCAGAAGGGCTAAGGATTATTATTTGTGGTTCTAATTTATTTTTCATCAAAGGGATGAGAGGGGTGAGAAAATGCCATTTTCTCTGGAGCTGGGAGCAGGAGTTTGAAGTATTTTTTTTTTCTTTTCTCTCTTTTGCGTGCGCTCTCTCGCTCTCTTTCTTTTCCCTTCCCCTTCCCCTTTGTGTGTTTCTCTGAGAATTTCGTGGAAGTCCCTGCTCTGTCTTTTCTTCTCTGGGCACCAGTGTGTGAAGTAGCCGGCACAGCGCTAGTCACCAGAGACTTCAAGGGCCGTAGCATGTTAGGAAAGTGCCTGCCCTGGTTTTCAGTAGCAACCCATTTCTGGGGGTTGCAAATAACTGCTAGCTTCAGTGTGAGTTCAGCATTCAAAGTAAAGGGAAGATTTCATGTGGAATTTTTTCTCAAAAGCATCTGGCAATACCCTGAACCCCGTCTCCTCGCATTCCATGGCATTCGGCTATTTCTTCTTCGTAATAGCTCAGTTTTGGACACTTTGGGGAATTCCCACCCTTGAACAGTGGCAGATATTTTCTCCTGGTATTATTTTTTGTAGTCAAGTAGCAACAATTTCCAAGGGGGTAGAACGACAGTGATGGGTTGGGAGGTGCGCTGGGAACTGTGCGCAATCCTCTTTTCAGGGCGCAGAACAGCGGTCGGCTGGTCGTGGTGGGAGAGCAGGTCCTTCTCCGGCATAGGCATGGGTGTCTCAGCCCTGAGCCCGGCTCCACCTGTGTGGCAGCCCCCTTGGCGATGGCTTGCCATCTGCACGTGCCAAACTGAGCGGGTTGTGGGGTCAGATCCCCGCTGATGGTCCGAGCGCAGAGCTCACCTCTCATCCCCTGCAGCTGCTGGGGATGCCACGCGCTGCTGCTCCCGCGGCCAGCCCCGCCGGGACTGCCCGTCCCTGCCTGCCGGGTGCTCGGGGTGTGCCGAAACACGGCTGAGAAGAGCAGGGCAGCTGCGGCGCTGTATCATCTCGACTCATTGGTTTCTGCCTGCAGCCCTGGAGCAGTCATACAGGACTTCATGCTAAAATTGTCTCGTGGGAGAGACTCACAGCACTATAACAAGGTTTCGCCCCAAGTGGCGAATAGAAATTCGCCCCGATTCCTTGTTTTTTGTGTTGCTTGCTGATTTATGAAGGCACAGCTATACCAGTCCTTAACTGCCCATGTTTTCAACTAATAAGATTAGAAGCTAAATAGCAGCAGGATAAATGGTGGATTATGACCATTCGATGGTTCCTGCAAAAATCCTCATTATTGCATGTGTAGTTTCACTGCTTTAAAAGACTCGCTGGGGACAGGCAGGCTGCGCTCCTGTATCTGTGGGCAGGACAGGGCTTTTGTGATTTTACTGCTGCTTTTAGCACAGACTAAACCAAGTACAACTCTGCGTGTGACTTGAGCTGAGGGTTGTCTCTTCAGATCTGCAGGAAGCACGAGATGACTTCTTTGATTGGAGCCGCTTGTGGAACCAGCTGAGTTTTCATATTTCAATTCGAGTTTATCAGTACTGATGTTCTGACGCAGAATCACTTTCTGTGCCTTTCTGCATTGGTTCAGTAATGCCTGTGGATGCTGTAGAGCTGGAGAAGGTGCCTCTGAAATGCCAGCTCCCAACAAGGAGTTCTGCTGCTGAGGAAGAGTTGGTCTCGTTTTGGGTCATTGGGATTACACTAGCAGTCTTCCTTCTCTTTTCTGTAGCTTGCCGTGCTGGTCCTCATGGCAGTGGTTTTGCTGGGGCTGCACTGGGGCTGAAGCCTGCTCACCGTATGCCTGCCCATGCTGTGCCGGGGTGGTTTTGGTTACAGCTCGGACAGTGAGGACTTCCTACTCGTTCTTTAATCTGTGTGGCAGCAAAGCATCTTAACTTCTGTAATATAAATTGTCCTTTGGTAGTTTTCATGTAATAAGAGTAATTTTGCTGGCAATGGTTAGTTAGGTGCTATGTGCTATGGGAAATATTTCTCACGGAGTCCCTCTGTTTCTCCCGTGGAGGTGTCCCCGTGACCCACAGCCCTCCTGCACCTGGGCATATCTCTGCAGATTGCAGTGCTTGTGTGTAGAGGTACCTGAACAGCTTCAGACTGTGAGCATACCACGCTGCTAACTGCCTGTGCTGACCAGAGCGCGCCACGCCGTGCCCTGCAGCGATACCCGTGCTGTGCCAGGAGACAGGAATGAGTGTACTGGGGACACAGGATTATGAAACTCCTCACAGAGGATAAAGCCATAATTACCTAACTTTACATCCTCTTGTCAGGAACTCCAGCCCTCTCTTACGTCCTGGAAATAGATGTGCTTCAGTTTTGGACTGCAGCCCTTCTGTTTCACTGTACTCTCCTTACAGCCTCACGAGCGCGGCTCAGGCTGATGCGTTGCGCTCCTCCTGCTTCCAGCATCTTCTCTGTCTTGCCTTTCCCTGCAGAACAACATCTGTTGGCATCCAAATTGTGGGTGCTGCTTCGGTGCCTGTCGTTGTCCCCCTACTCCCAGGGCAGGCTGCTCACAGCAGAGCCAGCCGGTCAGAGCGGAGCCCTGCGGAGGTTTGCGCTGTGTCAGGGCTCCCGTTGGGGGCTGAGAGGAGCGTTGCTAAGAGTTGGTTTTTGCTCAGCTGTGGTTAAGCGTTCATAGCAGCAAATCCCTATGCTGTTGCTATACTTAACATGCCAAACTCAATTATATTGAGAAGAGAGTTTAAAACCAAGATTTTGTCTAATGTACAGTATTTTGGCAGCAATTAGCTCTCAGTTTTATCATTTTCCCCAAGGTGAACATGAGAACAATCAGTTATGCATGAGAAACTGCTCTGTCGTGAGAGAGGAAGGCAGCTTTCTAGCGAGGATAAAAGGGTTTGCCCGTACTGCAGGGCACGTTTTTCAGTGCCACCTTTCTTGAACGTCCATCTGTATTTGATAACTTTGGGAAATGGTTTCTTTGTGTAAAAAGTGCTTGCAGGGTAGTTCACAAGGTGAGAAGGAAATCGCTGGGGACAAGCACTGGCACAGGCCCTCTGGCCATTTCTTTCCTGGGGGACGCTGCAGGGCACAGGTTTTGGCACCGGTGGGGCCCCTGTGGTCACGCTGGCCCCCAGGGGTCACTCAGGGCGGTGCTGAGCAGGTAGCCAGGGAGAACCGTGCTTTTGGATGATTTTTTTTTTCCCTCTGTCCTGTCTGGGAAGATCCTGTGCCCTTCCAAGTAAAATGAAGGGTATTAAACCCTGGTGCTGTGGCGAGGGTCCAGTGCAGGGTCACTGTACTATCTGGCTGTTTTTCCCTGGTACCTCTTCTTCAGTCCTGTTTCCTTCTTGCCTTTTCATATGGTATTGCAGTACACTGTTAAATATACCCTGGTGCGACAGGGCTGGTGTTTCTCTGGGACATACAATGCTTTTTTAGGCGTTTAATGTACATATGAGCCTCCAGAACAAGGGTGGGAGTGTTTGTGTGACCGGACCCTTCCTTGGTGTTTCTCAGTGCTGTGATCTGGGATTCCACGCCAGCCTTGCTCGGACATTCAGGACATACCTGTCTGCCGAGTACAACCTGGAAACCTCCCGCCACGAGGGCCTGGACATCATCGAGAACGCTGTGGACAACCTGGATGCACGGAGCGACAAGCACACCATCATGGACATGTGCAACCAGGTCTTCTGCCCTCCGCTGAAGTTTGAGTTCCAGCCTCACATGGGGGATGAGGTAGTGTACTCACCCAAGGGGCTGCACAGGTGCCTCGCAGCCTGGCCTGGCCTCTTCTTAACCATCACTGTTAAATTATTTCTGGCTCCTTATCCCTCTGTGCTGTCTTCACACACTGCTATTCCTGTTTCTTTTCTTAATGAGACACATGGCTCATTAGGGCTCCTCCTTTCAGTCTGCCTCTTGCTCCATATCTCTCCCAATTAGGAAGCCTGTGGTTTGATTCTCAGCTGAACTGCCCAACAGATTTGTAAAGTGGAGCTTTGATTTACCTGCTGTAATTGGAAGACTTCAGAGTGCAGCTTTCAAATGCTGGGTAGAAAATGCTTTGTGCTGGCCCAGGTCCAGGGCACTGCTGATTAGAAACTGGGTGACACAGCCTCCCTGGAGGCTGCGAGGAGCTTGTGGGTGCTGGAGAGAATCATTTAGGTATTTAAATGTGTATGTCTGGTCAGTGCACGACCCACTGAATGCTCTCCTGTCTCTCTCTGGTACTGCTCCTGTCTCAGGTGTGTCAGGACAGAGCCCAGCAGCCTGTGCAGACCGAGTTGCTGATGCGGTACCACCAGCTGCAGTCGCGACTAGCCACCCTCAAGATAGAGAATGAAGAGGTAAGAAGTCGCTCTGGGTCTCGTGTTTGGCCTCCTAGGCAGCATTGCTCAGCCTTTTGCCCGTTGCGCAGGGGGTTTCCTGGTGTGCTCAGGTGTAGAGCCCCTCCAGTGACAGTGCTGAGAGCTCCCATTGACTGCAGCTAGCGCAAGAGCAAGCCCAGTACTTAGGAGCTGCCTGTTGGCCAGTTGTTTTGGCTCAAGATGTGTCACTTTCCCAGTCTGCTTCAAAACCATGCTGTCTTCTATTTCTGATAGGTACGAAAAACTCTGGATGCCACAATGCAGACTTTGCAGGACATGCTGACAGTGGAAGATTTTGACGTTTCAGACGCCTTCCAGCATAGTCGCTCCACTGAGTCGGTCAAATCAGCTGCATCAGAGACCTACATGAGTAAAATAAACATTGCCAAGAGGAGAGCCAACCAGCAGGAAACCGAAATGTTCTATTTTACAGTGAGTCTCATCTCAATGTGATACAGGACACAAAGCATTAATTGCTAGGGCTGAGTCCCATTTTAAGTGCTCATTAGTGAAGAGCAAGAACCAATTCAGTCTAAGTATTTGTCTTCTGTCTGATTTGGGGTTGGAATGCATTTCTCAGTGGCAGGGCAGTGCATAGGGACTGACAATCCGGTGTCTGCCTTGTTCTTCTTTTTGAAGGAACAACTGGAGCAACCAGTTGTGACTGAAAACTTACAGAACTCAGTTGGAGTGGCTCAGAGCAGGGCAGCAGACTCCAGCCAGCCTCGCAGTGTGTCACCATTCAGTGGCTGTTCCTGGAGGCCTTTACAATTTTGAACCATCAGCCAAGCCTTCCTTTTCTGGCCTACACAGCTAAAATCTGCCCTTGGCCCATGGGATGAACTAAACGGTCATTTGCATCTCGTGCAGGGTGTTGGAGGAAGCTGCGACAGCCTGGCTTTGCAACGCCCTGCTGTTGTGTGCGTGCTGGGTAGAGGCAGCTGTGCTGTGTCTCCCCTGCAGCCTTGCTCCTGTACTTCGCTTCCAGGCAGATCTAAGGTTCTCTCTTATAGTACTTGAAATGTAATAAGCCGTCAGTTCAGCAGAAGTAGCCCTCATTTAAGCGTGGTTAATAGGCTAAAGTTAATAGCATCTTGTGATATATTACATATGCATAGAAAAGCTTCTACTTTCTCTTAACAGTATTATTATTCCAATTCAGGGGGAAAAGACTTGCAGTTTTCGTTTTGAGTTGTACTTGGGGGGTTTTTTAATGCTTTTTGCAAGAATTTGATCTTTCCCATTCTGTCTTTTGTTTTCCATCTGTCTCCCTCGCTCCTCTTACCTGTAAAATTACTTGCTCTTGAGTGTTAGCGGGTGTCAAACAGTCTCACAATGAAATGAGAAGTTGTGCTGCACTGTTGCCCAGTGCATAAAGCATCTGATGGTCCCTGACTCGGGAAGGTCTCATGCACTGGGAGTTCTCACTCTGCATCACTTGTTTGCACAAAGGCAAAGCGCCTGTCAGTGGAGGGAAAGCCTCTTTGATTTTCCAGGCTGTTCCCAGAAGCCTGACAAAAGAAAGCTTGCTTTGAACTCTTTTCTTTGGAGCTCCTTGCGTTCCCAGGCAGGAGGTGCAGCACCAAGGAGACCGGGTTAAGAAGATCATCAGGACTGTGACTAGAGCAGTGAGAAGTGATTAGACCATGCTCAGTCCTGCGGTGCATCCGACGTCTGGTTTGTTAGGGCCTGTCAGCCTTGCCGAGCCTCCTCCAGCAGCCCCCCAGGCAAAAGTGTACATCAATTACGGACTATTTTTGCCAAGAGTCTTAACTCGCCTTGTTTGTTTTATTTTTAATGCCAGAAATTTAAAGAGTATTTGAATGGCAGTAACCTTATCACGAAGCTCCAGGCTAAACACGACTTGCTGAAGCAGACTCTTGGAGAAGGTGAGTCGCGGGGTTAGGTCCAGGGAGGAACCTCCCATCACGTGAGACGATTTTAAACCAGGCGTCATCTTTCAGTCTTACCTGATGTCTGTGTTTTCCCGAGTGACTGATGGCTTCTGTGGTTGGCTGCTACTACTAAGTTTAACCAGTGACATGCAAAATCATTATTTCCCTGGAGTATTAGTCTTATCCCACCTTTCTTTGGGAGTGCACGTAGAGAAATTTGTTTGAATCCTATACTGTGTGCCAAAGTGCTGTGTTATTTCTCCGACAGCAAAGAGGTTCCCACCCACTCCAACCCTCTGCCTTTGTCCTTTCTCTCCCCCTTCTTCTCCCCTCTTAGTGCAGCCCTGAACATATGTATTTTCTTGTCCTTGACGCTCTGTTTCTGTGTTACAGATTTGCCAGCAGCCTTGCTGATTTAATAGGCCCCTTGCCCCCTAGCCATAGTTTTTTGACTTGCTCTAATCCAGAACTGCAAAATCATCTTTGTTTTTAAAACTAACTTCTCCATAGCAGGCTTTCATTACCCCAGATAATTTCACAAGTTTGGTTTAGAGCATATACACACAAACAGGTTTCGTACAACAGAGGGGGCAGTAACTTCTGAGGGAGGCAGGAACGTGTGGCTCCAGGTGGCATCTGCCACTGCTGGGGTAGTAATGTGCAACCATGTCCCTGGGAGAAGATTTTAGTTCTTTTAAAGGATTTAAAAAAATTGCATTATTTCCAAGTTAAAGATGATGGAGGTGAGTTAGTGTCCTGATTTTCCAACAGGAGAGAACATATTTAAATTAAAATACACAAATGGTCCATGGTCTTACTTTAACAATACAAAAATTGGACTCCTCATCTCAGAGGTAAAAAAAAAAAAAGCTTTTTGTTGGCTATTTTGCCAAACATATTTTCTCTGCCAAATTTATTTAGCCTTAAAATCCACCTTCTAGTTCGATCCTGCGGTATGTTCCACTCAGTGAACACTGAGCCAAGTCAAGGCACAAAGTCAAAACACAAGGAAAGCTGCAAGGGTAGATGCACAGGGCTCCATTAACATATTTCTTTTCCCAGGAGTTTCAGTACTCCCTGTAGCTGCCTTAACCCCTTATCACCCTGCAATAGCAGGTCAGTGGCAGCCCTTCTGCATCCTCACCGAGGCAGTCCTGTATTTCCATACCAGTGTGGCAGGGGTTGTGCCAGGCTTGGTGGGTCACTGCGTGCTGCCTGGCAGGGCTCCCAGCTGCTGGGTCTGAATGCAGGCTTTGACGTAGGCGAGGGGGATGGAGCATGCAGTTCACAGAAATTGGACCCATCTAACCTCTTCCCAGAGGTCAGATCTTAATACAGGAAAGAGCTCTGTTTATTGGGTACAGTGCTAAGACTCCTATAGATTGGTGCAAGATGTGATCAATCTGTTGAAAATTAATTTGATCGCCATCCTGGTCTCTCACACAAGAGCCATACCAATGCCATACTTAGGAGGAGGAGTGCAGGGTCAGGCATTTTAATTCTCTGTAGAGTTGTGCAAAAGCAGCCGTGGCAGATTTTCACGTGAAAACTTTCTGAATTTCTCCCAGGCCATGGGATCATCTGCTGTGTAGGCGTTCAGCAAATATTTAGCCCAGAAATGCCAAATGCTGCATTTCAGCATGAGCTGATTCTCATTAGGAAGCCCGCTGGGTTTGCAAAACACTCGTGTGTATTTCTTTTCTTTTTCAGTGAGGAATTGGCTGCAGGCTTGCTTTCCGCAGGTGCCAGGGGAGAGCAGGAAGGAGGCATGTGCAGCCAAATGCTTCCTTTTATGTGTCTTAGAAAGAGGAAGAATAAATCAGCTTTCCTGGCCTTGGGAGAAAGGCACAAACAGCATGTGAAACTAGTTTAGTTTTTTTCAGTGGCTTGACAAATACTTTAAAAAATGAACAGATCTTATCAGTGGTGATATGCTGCCGTTTATATGAAATCCAAGCACTAAAAATACACGAAGGGGATGAGAATATTGCCTCAGTCTGCCTGATCGTGGTTAGATGGGCTGTTACCTCACAGGAAAAGCCAGGGAACTGAATACTCCGCTGCATTCAGGTGCTATTAGTGTACCTCCATGAGGCAGTTGGATAATCCCAGTGGCCTCCCCGGGGGCTTCAGCCCTTGTCAGACTGCCCCTTTCCTGCTTGGGTTTGGCCAATCCCCAGCTAGTGCAAATGAGCGCTTATGCAAAGGACCTGCAGTGCATCTGGTTATTTACAAGATGGGCTTCATATTGCAAATAAACCTTTAATATCGGTGAGAATTGAAGGTGCTTTCCCTCTCTTGTGGCTGAGTCTTGGACTTCTAAGTTCTTGGACTCCTTCCACTTCTTTTAGTGGCAGGAGTTTGTATAGCCACCAGCTCGGCATCTCCCCAACCTGAGGGGCCCTTGGGCACATTCAGCTTCTTTTTGCCAGAAGCCATTAACCCAGGGCTTACAGAACCAGACGTGGGTGTGTGAGTGCCTGTGTGATTGCGTTTTAACGGTCGGTTGGTGGTGACTAATGTGGAAAGATGACAGAAACTTGTGTTTCTTCATAGGTGAAAGAGCCGAATGCGGAACAACCAGGTGAGCAGTTTCTTCCACTTCATCTGCTTTTGGGAGGGGCTTGCTCTGGCAGGAGGAGGGTGGCCATGGGAAGGGTGGCTTGCTTTGCTACTGGTACAGCTTGGTGGGGTTCAGATTTAACCATCTTCCAGCCGCCCTGTGCTGGCAGGCCAGAGGGCAGGCAATCCCAGGCTCCCCACACCATTCCCTGCTTCTCAGCTGCATTGCCTGAAGTGGGTTAACTAGGGTGATGACAATCAGGCCCTTGTTTTTGCTGCAGTGTAATTTCTAGCTGACTGGCTCTGAAGTGCCTGGAAGTGCTGTCTCAGCACGGTGTGGTGCAGTACCTTGTAGCATGGCTGAGGTTGGGTTGTGTTCACAGTGCAACACAAGGGTGCCCACCCGCTCCCTACCATCCCTGTTCACTTGAGGACTTTGATATGCCCCCAACAGCCTCTCCCAGCTCTGGCTTCTTTGCCTAGAAGTGCAGAGCATGCCTGTATTCAGACTTCCATCCCTCCACAGCAGGAGATAGTGCTAGGGGTGAATGTAACAGGGAGGAGGCTTTGTTCTGTGTCCAATCCATAAAGCATCTCCACAGAGTTCTGGTGGCTTGCTATGAGTCTGCTGGTTTTCTAACAGTAAGACTGGGGCCAGCAAAGCTTCCAAACTTCTCCCCAGAACATGTACAACCTCTCTCTGTGTTATCTTTTTACAACCCTGTTTCAGTGTTTAATAAAATTTGCAATCCCAGCAAAACCCCCCATTCCCTGTTAGAAATGCTGAAGCAGATGGTGAAGCCTGGGCTGCCTTTCCAAGCAGGAAAGAGGCTGCCTTAGCAGAGGGCAGCGGGGCAGCAGGGTGCCTTGCTCTCTCGCCTTTTGGCCGGAGGGGACTGTGCTGCCG